GAGAGAGAGAGAGAGAGAGAGAGAGAGAGAGAGAGAGAGAGAGAGAGAGAGAGAGAGAGAGAGAGCTGATTCTTGAATTCGTTTTTTGAAAATTGAGGCGTTCATCAATCATAGAATGGTCATTTGTTCATGAGTGTCAGCTCAATTCAATTTGTGTCACTTTGTAGTATCAATCGGCTTCGCCTTGTGATTTATCCTTCCATCACCACATCCAATTTTGTCCAATCATGCAATTGTATTTTCAGCCGCGCCACCTTAGTTCAAATCTCGTCACATTCGAGCAGCCATTGGCGTCGYCTTTTGGGTTTTCCCTCTCGGCACATTTAAATTTTTCATTGTATTAGGTAATGCATAGGAACCGAATGTATGAATGCTCGTGCAGAAGGGGAACTTTGCCGGGCCAAAGAATTGACAACATTCAATGTCGGAATCACAAAGCACACAGTGCGGAGGGCCAGACGGGCCATCAAATGTATAAAGAGGCCCGTGTGTTGTATTTTGTTCTCTGTGACGCCTCACAACATTCAAAGTGAAAATGCATAGATGAGTGTAGACGACGGGGGAGGTTCGGGAGAGAGGCAGAAAAGCATAGAGGTAGTTCGAGTCCGGATGCATCCGAGTAAGCGGGCAGGACATCACACCACACAAGGCACAAAATGACGAAAGCGAGATATTGAATCACGAAACAGGCGCCCCAACAACGGGGACGTTCGTGATAATTGAAATCCAATGAGAAAGAACAATATTGTCGACGACAAACACGCCGGGGACATGACAAGTTCACTCGGAGATTTCCTGGCAGTGACAGCCAGTTCTGCTCTGAACCAAACCGAGAACACCCACCAGTCCCTCACGAAAAAAATGAAAAGGAACAAGTTTCGTCCGGAGAAGAACGAAATGTTCTTCTACGTCAACCCTTCTACACTACATGATCAACAAAGAGATAGACGCTTACCTACCAACATCGCAAATCGCCAAAGCTAGTCTAGCTCTGATAGAGGAGATATGTCTATGGGAGAAACCAAAAGGTGGACGTAAACCTCTCGCCAAACAGGAAGCGAACATCAACATGAACACCCCACAACTAGCCCCGTCGTGCTGCCGAGGGACACCTTTCACGCTGACCTCGCGGGCGAAGTGGTCGAAAGTGCGACCATCACCGGCGGCACCTGCCACCGTGTTCAAAAATTTAACAGTTTTATCCAGAAGTGCGGAGTAGAAGGAATCTTTGGATGACGAATACGAGAAAGAATCATATATTTCCAAAACACGTCTAGAGAAGTCAATGGCCAAAAGGCTCCAGTGTTCGCCGTCCTTGTGCACTGGTGCCAAGACGAGGTCATGAGACAGGAGGTCGACATCCTTAGCCCATCTGAGAACAGTTGCCGGACCTCGCAGAAGCAGTGAAGAGGCGAAGAAGGAGTTAAAGGTGTATGTCTTCATGGTAGCGGCAGTCCGGCCGCAGTCGTCCAGTAGCATCGCCATGTAGAAATTGACAACCTCATCATTGAGCTCCCCGGATCTATCCACGAGTGCGACGATGTCCTTCACGGATTCCTGTAAACTGTGCGACGGCAAACGCGCGACGATGGTAGTGAGCGGCAACCGGGAGTAGATAACGTCTTCAAGGACCGCTCTTCCATCTCGAGGAAACCCTGTTCAACAAACACCCGCAGCACACAGCAAGCACAAAGGACGGGGCACTATGAGAAAATGCCGTCCTAGCGGCCATGGTCCGAGGAACCGCTACTCTGTGGTCCGAAAAGTTCACGCATAACGTCACCCCTACTTCTGGACCTTCTTCACACAGTTGATTCTAAACTAGCACTGTCCTTTATATCCCTGCAAGCCTCGAGAAGGAATTCCTTGCAGTCTTTTTCGGCAACACCCGCTGCCTCTGCAACGAGTCTTGTGCGGGAGCCCAATACGGGCACGACTACCCTTCTGGGAGGGCCTTGAGGCTTAGTGTCCCCAGGAAACGCATCAGTGACATTGCGACGACCAGTGCCTCCCGCAACCACGACTGACAACCTGGCGAGGGCAGGCGGCTCCTGCGACATGGGTGTTTGTCCACGAGTTCGTCGACCTGTACAAGAAATAGCCACCCAGACAGTTCAGCAGGAGATCAACAACACAAGTTCGCAAGAGCAACCAAGCAAACAGCACCTCACGAAGCACATCGTCACAATCCAGTTGGCGGCCGCCTATACACCTCCCCGAAATCGACGAAGCAAACAACACTTCACGAACGGGCTGACGAGCGGGAAGAAAGCAGAGAAAGTCAGTGCTTACCATGCCTAGCTACCACTTCACCAGAGCCCACCGACGGCAGTCCCAGCACGATTGGCACCCCTGCGCGCGTCGACGCGGCGACGATGTGCTCCAAACCCACAGGGAAACTTGACAGGCTCGAGATGTCGGCGTCGATGACCGTAGACGGTATATTCGTCTCTGGACAAAGATCGTCGACGTCCACAACATCGACAGGTTGTGTTTTCTCCATTGCCACTGTGTCGTATTGTGTTGGGCTCAATGTCCCATGGATGTCCAACAACACCTCCTCCCCCCTTAACTTCTTGTCCCCGTACGCTGTGTCTTTGTCGTCGTCACTCAAATAGAGAAATCTATCTCCAACAGCGTCAGAGACTTTCTTCAGAACGTCCTCCCCCATCGCCTTGTTGTGAAGGGCGGAGTACAAGGGATCGTCATATCCTGACTGAACTGGTAGCTCCATCCCGACGTCGCTGAGTGTCGGATCAATTCGGTCGTTGGTGGAATTGTCCTTGCCCAAAGTCGTCAGTAGTCGACAACCCTCAACGCCTGCCAGTTGAAGTCCTTCGTCCGTGTGCCTCGGATGAATCTGAATCACGGTCGTCTCGAAAGATGCATCAGGGAGGGAGATGTTCACAGGGCCCTGGTTCGGATTCATCCGAGCCCCCGCACTTTCCAATGACGCCGACATGACCGCTTTCACCGGGGAGTCGCTTACGACTGCTAACTCGGCTCCGAGTGTGTTGGGCTCGACATTGGAACTGGTCCCCAACTCACCCTCAGTCCGACAGTCCGCCTGCAGCTCCTTGTGGGCTTCCACGCACAACATTACTCCATCCTGACATCGATCGTCTGTCATGGCAGACACGGCTTCTTGGTTCGGATGAATCCGAATCTCGTCGCCAGGGTTTTCGAAAACCCGGACCACCCGTTCGAGTTCTGATTGTATGGCACGGCCTTCGCGGTTCGGATTAATCCGAAATTCCTTTTGAGGCGAAACGGAACACGGTTCCAGCTTGTCGCTGCCGGACCCGTGGTATGTTGTCGTCTCGCTTCCCGGAAGGCATTGGGTTCCGGACAACGAGGTCATCTCCGAGGTTCGGATTGATCCGAGACAATCCACCAACCGTTTTTGGAGCTGAGCGAAGCATGTTCCATGCTTTGCGACACCCGCCCCACCAACCGCATCGACAAATTGTGTTTCGCTCGTGGAGCTAATCACAGGGTCCTGCTCGCCAGGCCGCGTAATACACCCAGGCCTCAAGTCGTTCCCCGTCTCCATTGAGGTGTTGCCTGTTACCCCCAGAACCCCACCGTCCTCGTCGCGGTCGACATCGGACCCCTGCCCTTCTCCTCTGTGATGCTTTGTCTTCTCTCCACTGCGAGGCTTCTTCTTCTCCCGGCTGCCCTTTTTCCCCTCTCTGTCGCCTGCGTGCCCCGGAGACTGCTGTTTCGTCGAACGTTGTTCACTTCCACCTCCGGTACCTCGTTGCCCGCCGCCTTCACCATCCCCATCGCCGTCCTTTCCACGAGACTTGCGCTTCACAACTCCTGTCGGCGGGGTGACCCCAGGCAACTCCCAACTCACTTGCTTAATTGATGGGCTTGACGGAAGGGCGTAGAACGTGGAGGACACTTCCAGCCATTTATTTGACTGCAAGAACTCGAACAGCGTGTCCCCGTATTCGCGAAGAGCAGGGTCGTCCTTATTTCGTCGATTGACCTCACTTAATCTCTCCAATACCGCATCATAGGCGCGAGATTTGAATGTCTCGAGGTCCCAACGATCGTCATATATCCACCCTCCACTTACGTCCCTCACAGCCACTGCCCATTCGGCGTCGAGAAGGACTGGCTGGAAATGGTATGGGTGCCACACGATATCATGGCCCCAATCTTCAGCTGTGGAGAAGGTGTGTTTGTCACCCATGTGGAAGGGAGTCGCAAGAGCCTTGAGATGCGGATGGTCCGGAGGAACTGGATGGCCGGGTCGAAGACGTTCGGGTTGCGGCGTGAGACGAATAGGCTCCCCTGGCGAACTCCTCAGACGGGACAACCCACCCCTCTTGACAGGCGCTGAGGAGGACACGGGCGTGGGACCTCCCGAGGTAGGTGTAGCGAGAGGTGTCCCCGGTTTGCATACTGATGGCGACTCAAAAATTTGGGCGTTGAAGATGGCCAATTCTCCGTCCAAATCGAAGAGGTCGTCCTCAACGCTCTCCTCCTGCTCTGTCTCGATATTGAAGTCGTCCTCCTCACCGAATGCCAGCTTGTACTTATCCAAAGTGAAGTCGGCCGGATCGACAACATCCTTGTTAAAAAAGACATATTCCAGCCTCACAATGAAGCTCACAGCGCCGGCCCGACTCGCTCCGTGGTAGCCCTGGAGGACCGCAATGGCGACTTCCTTCCGCACCACGTACTGCGGGTCAAATCTCACATTGGTTGTTCGCCGTAAAGCAAGGAGTAGACCTGGCGCCTTTTCTTCGGAGTCAACTTGAAGAACATGTCCTTGTTCGGGTCATAAACGGGCTCGACCACGACATGGTGGAAATCGCATGGGTAAGCCTTGGACGACACTTCATGGGTGACATACTGCACGGTGTATTCGAGCTGCGTTGTGTCCCCATCCACGGCCAAGATGTGCCTTCCCTGCTGAAGCAGACTCCACACCACCTGCGMGTGYGGCTTGCCCAAGAACAGCACGRCATCCGCCACACCACAGAAGAAAAGAAGYTGATTGCACAACTGATTYGGATTCCGCTCGCCGTCCTTGTACAGAGCCCCCCTCTGGGTCAGGTTTTCGATGTCCGCGAAAGTCAAAGACTTGAAAGACTTCTCCTCCACATCCGTGGGTGTCACTTTCTGTTTCCTCCGGAGAGCGGCGGCGTCGTCTTCAGCAACAACTCCCTCGTACACTGGGTGAGTAAGTAGCCGAGGATCCTCGCCTTTGAAAAGGATGTGCATCACATCCAGCTCCTCCCAGATGCTGTTTCCGAACTGATGCGTCTTCTTCGATGCCGTCTTCCGAACCCACTTCCCCGTATAGCATCGGGTAGCCCCAAGCGCAGACAAACATGTCATGAAGGAGAGGTTCATCTGCCATGGCCAGCGGGAGGTAGTATCGAAGTTTCTCAGCCCATTCCTTTCTTTTCTTTGCTTCCGTTGACAGGTTTCAGAGAGGCGTGTACGGCGTCTTCTTCATTGCCAACGCCATGAACCGCACCCACTTTCGCACCTCGTCCTGTTTCTTCCAGGCATTGCCGAGCACCACACGCGGTTTGCCCTTAATTTTTCAGATATTGCGAATGTCCCGCATAGACAAAACCTGGAAGCGTGGTGGATTCTTCTTGTCTTTCATGTTGTCTTCGCAGCTGACATGGGCGTAGCTGTCGAACTCGTCGTCAGGGAAGTAGATCGGTCTAAACGGCCATTTACAGAAGTTGTAGTAATCAAACACGGGATGGTCTTTCACCATTATCGCCGCTCTCGCGTTATGTTGTCCACACACAGGATAATACCAGTATCTCTCCGGGTGTGAGCTGTTGAAGTCAGCAAGCAGCATGCGCACAATAGGCTCGCCGTTCTCTGGAGGCGTGACGATCGGAGCGAGAACGAAAATGGGATTCTTGTATCTCATGTCTTTACGTTCGTAGCAGTCGATCATAGCCGACGCGATGGTATCAACGAGGAACTCGTCCAACGATCGGTGGTTGTAAGCGTCTTCCCAGTCTGGAATAGCTAATATTCTTTCGGGATGGATGTGCAACACGACGTCCTTCTGCACCCCTATCTGCATCTCGAGGAAGAACGCATTGTCCAGGTTAAAGGCGTTGAGGTTAACCTCCACGTCGTCATCCCCCTCCCCGCTGTCGCCCTCGTCTGCTTTCTTACCCCTCGATGATTTCGCCCTTTTCCCGGAAGACTCACCGGTTCTTCGTTGTGTCGATGAGTCTTTTGGCGTTTCATCCCCACCTCCAACCCTTTTCCTCTTCTCAACGGAACAACCCTCTCGTGTTGTTGGCATCCGAGCACTCCCTCCCACCTTTCTCTACCTTTCCAGAGCACCTAGTCCCTCTCGCTCTTCCTCATCTGGCAAGTTGCGCTTGCCTCCCGACTGAGTCTTTTCAGTCAATCTCTCATGGAACAGCCCCTGCTCGGACACCTCCTCCTCACCGGCGACGTTCCCACTTGCTTCTCGTTCCTGGCTCAACTCCGTCTGCAGTTCGCCCGACGCTGGTCAGGCCCGGCGAGTCGTCTCATCTGACCCACGCATCTCTCGAACCTGCGGACCACCCGCTCGATCTCCAGGCGAAACCTCGGCCACCTGCATTCCACGAACGAACGAACCGATGCTTTCGACCAGACCATGAGGAGTCGTCGATTCCGAGCCCTGTCGCAACCGTTCGCCATCGCCGCCTCCATGTGACGTCGACTCCCCAAGCAAACCGTGGCGGCGAGATACATGCAAGCCCGGTTTCAAAGGAGCACGCGGATGGTCGTCCTCCGAGTCGTCTGACATGCCCACCTCTTGATCAGGAGGCGTAGCTGGCAGGCCACCCTGACCTCCCATCTCCCTTTCAGAGCACTCTCCTCCCACGAACCCAACAGGACCACTAATCGATGTTCCAGGTCCGATGTCCACGGCACTGACAGAGGTACCAGATTTCGCCCAGACTTTGAGAAAGTCTGTGACGTGAACGGCCTCGTCATGCCCCGGCGCTAGCGGGAGAAAGTGAGGCAAAGACATCGCACGACGGTCATACCCACCGAACATCCTCCCGGCAACCTTGCATCCCTTTGCGATGCCGTCGACAAAACCATCACTTCTGTAATGCTTCTTCAACGTAAACTTGAAATTGTATTCGCCATCGACGATCCACTGGACGATGGACCCTGCGAGACGTGTTCTGTCGGCGCGAACGGCGACGAACAAGAGCGGCCCGCACAGTGGTTGCAAAGGGTCGGAGCCGTCCTGGCTCGCCCAGTCCAAATACCAGACACGTTTGCTGTAGTCGCACCACAAGTTTTGAGCACGTCGTTCTTCCTCCCCACCTCCAACTCCCCGACTCATTTCCCTTGCCGGCGACGAAGTCGTCCCTCGACGCTCCTCTCCGTGCGGGGCGGAACCACCAGCGGAGCGGCCTCGTCCGTGTGAAGCCATTCCCTGAAACACACGGAGGAAATGAACCCACAATCACTTAGAACAGTCAGCACGTCCCAAAATCAACCACGACCCACAACACGTATTCTATTATCGCTCACCCGGACTCCAAAAGAACGAAGTTCAGTCATAGTTAGACGACAGTGGTCCACAAACCTGCACATTTCGGATGAATCCGAGGCATCGTGAGCCATCCTCGTCACACTGCCCTTAAGAGAATGAATGGTCGAAAACGAAGACCGTGGAAAGCATCAGATACATCCGAAGCAGGCGCAGTCGAAAAACCGATGTCGCATAGGCACCTGCACCGGGAAAAGCAACACCTCGCAAGAAGGCCATAGAACGCTGATACGGCAGACGAAGACGAATACGTTGTCATCCGAAGTCGACAAGTGGATTGTAAAGTCCGCCGTTGTAGTTCGGATGAATCCGAGCTCCAAAGCCGGGTGGACCTCCCCCTGTCGGCCCTTACGAAACCGAACTCGAGTTTTCTTGTCCTTCTGAGTCGGTAACGGTTGTGACTCGGATGCATCTGAACTCGAACAGCGAGGTCCAGAGACGGTCGTCCACAAGAGGTCATCTACAGCACGTGTTTTCGTCACCGACCTGCGAGCACTGGGTTAACCCTATCCTGCCGGAGGTTCGGTTCGGTTGAACCTGAAGTTCGCAAATGTGGCTCGGATTAATCCGAGACAGGGACCGGCGGATGGACMCCRCRGTCTGTTGACGCCCATCCAGCCATCCAAGCTTCYGTTWTTCCCCAGCTGTCGTCGGATCCAACCGAATTTCGCACGGTGTGTCTTCGTCCTTGAGTGTTTAAGASKGGTGTGRCTCGRATTTATCCRATTCGACAGAGGYTGTCCCGATACGTGCGACCACGACAGGCTGCGCCGACACCGTGTGCTTTCGACGTACAAGTTTATCAAACCGTGCGACGTCGTCAATACCCTCTGCGCATGTGGTAAATCCGAAAATGCCACCGGTGTGGTTCGGATTAATCCGACTTCGCCGGGGCGCTTTGCTTTGTTGTCGCCCCACCACACACCGGACCTCCCCGTGATTGTCGTCGTGTGTCATTATAATCTGTGCGTCGTCACGCGGGATATCGTCGTCGTCGTGAGTTTTAGTTGGTTGTTGCTCGCCCAATCCAAACAACAGACACGTTTGCTGTAGTCGCAGCACAAGTTTCTAGCTCGTCTTTCTTCCAACGAGCGTAACCATCTCGACTCGTTTTAGTTGCATGAATCCGAGGCATCGTTGACCCTCGTCATGAGACTGCCCTTCGTAGAGCAAATGGTCGAAGACGAAGACAGCGTGATACATGCGACCACGACAGGCTGCGCCGACACCGTGTGCTTTCGACTTACAAGTTTATCAAACCGTGCGACGTCGTCAATACCCTCTGCGCATGTGGTAAATCCGAAAATACCACCGGTGTGGTTCGGATTAATCCGACTTCGCCGGGGCGCTTCGCTTTGTTGTCGCCCCACCACACACTGGACCTCCCCGTGATTGTCGTAGTATGTCATTATAATCTGTGCGTCGGCACGGGGGATATCGTCGTCGTCGTCGTGAGTTTCAGTTGGTTGTTGCTCGCCCAATCCAAACAACAGACACGTTTGTTGTAGTCGCAGCACAAGTTTCTAGCTCGACTTTCTTTCAACGAGCGTAACCATCTCGACTCGTTTTAGTGGCATGAATCCGAGGCATCATTGACCCTCGTCATGAGACTGCCCTTCGTAGAGCAAATGGTCGAATACGAAGACAGCGTGGTAGTTCGGACACATCCGAACTGGGCAGAGTCGAAAGACCGACGTTGTGACTCGGATGCATCCGGATTAGGCCGACCACAAGAGGAGGACATGGACACGGCGTCAATGACCTTTGCGCAGAGGCTGGACCCTATCTTGTCGGAGGTGTGGTTCGGATTAATCCGAGACGGAACGGTCTTTTGACCGCGTGTGATTTCGTCGTTCACGTTCATCGGAACGTGCGGCGTCGTAAATACCATCTGAGCATGTGACAAATCCAATTTGCCGTCAGTGTGGTTCGGATTAATCCGAACTTCGCCGAGGTGCCTCGGTTAGTGGTCGCCCCGTGAGTTTTAGGGGGTTGTGACTTGGCTGCATCCGAAATTAACAAGGGTGGCTCGGATACGTCAGTTGTTGCACCACCACAAGATGGTATGGACAGGGTGGGCTGTCGTCCTCCTGGTTGGTCAAACATGTCGTCGTCGACAATACCCTATGAGCATCTGATCGCTCCGTGTCCTGTCCTGTGTCCAAGTCAGCGGAAGGGTTCCTCGCGGCGTTCGGCTGACGCGAGGTTTGATAGGGTTTAAAGATTTGAATTCACGTTCGCCTCCTTTGTCTTCGAATCTGTCATAGCAGTCTTCGGATTACTAATCTGTGATTGCACTCAGGGGGGGACCAACCTGAGATCGGTTGAGCGACTGTCTGCGATACACAAAGATTGGAGAAAGGCAGAAAAAACCCGCATAGACACGGAAGGGAGACTAAGATCGATAGAGACGTCGACAAGGAGAGGATGCGCAGCGAGAGAGCTTGTCTTTAGCTCTCTGTCTCTCCATGTGCAGATCCTGCGAATGGTGTTGTCCATTTCGGAATTCGCAATGTGACCCGTTAATAAAACGACACAAAATAAATTTAAGAAAAAATTGTTCGTGTCGGCGAGAGGAAGATTGGCGAAAAATGTGAAAAATTCGACGGATGTGGAGGACATTTTACGGATACAGAACCGAACGCCAAGCGAACTGCACGACGCGACTTACGCGGAAAACAAATAAACAAACTGAGCGCAATTCGGCGAGAAGAAAGTCCATGTGCAATCCAGAAGAGACACGATTCGTGAGAAACCATGTTCTCGTGTTCGACAACATACGACTGACATCCTTATATCGCATTTCGTGAGAGAGACAACAAATTGACGACAAGCGAGTAACACTTCAAGAAAACATCTGAAGTGACGACACAATCTCGAAGTGCGTGTCGCAACATTCTCGGGCTGCATTCGCGGGTCCCGTTTCGTTGGTGACCACTCGCCCCGATCAGATGGCACACTCAAATGTCCACGTGACAGCTCCTGAACATGCGTGGTGACGATCAGATAGAGCCCCACATCCATCAGCGTGGCCACGCTTGTTCATGACGGGACACGTGGACGTATGAGTGTGCCATCTGATCGGTGCGAGTGATCGCCAATGAAATGCATGCATTCTTGCTCCCGAAACTCCTTCATCTCGCCCCGATCAGATGGCACACTCACACGTCCGCATGTCATGTCCTGAACATGCGTGGCTACGCTGATGGGCGCGGGGCTATATTGGAGCCGCGCATCCATTCTGCTGCCGCATAGAGCCCCTTTGTCGCATAGAGCCCCGCATCCATCAGGGTGGCCACGCTTGTTCAGGACGTGACACGTGGACGTCTGAGTGTGCCATCTGATCGGTGTGAGTGATCGCCAATGAAACGCATGCATTCTTGCTCCCGAAACTCCTTCATCTCGCCCCGATCAGATGACACACTCACACGTCCGCATGTCATGTCCTGAACATGCGTGGCCACGCTGATGGGTGCGGGGCTATATTGGAGTTTGGCATCCATTCTGCTGCCGCATAGAGCCTCCCATCCATCAGCGTGCACACACTTGTTCAGGAACTGACACGTGGACGTTTGACTGTGCCATCTGATCGGGGCGAGTGGTCGCCAATGGAACGAGATCTCCAAACGCACCCCGAGGTACGTTCACGAAAGAAACAGGCCAACGCATAAGACGAACGAAATAGGGGCGCTAAAGACAAACTAACGACGGGGACGAAGATGGTAGTTGAACACGACGGCACACACGTCCACGTGTCAAGTCGTGATCATGCGTGGCCACGCTGATGGGTGCGGGGCTCTATTCGATAACATTCTGTTGCCACATAGAGCCCCGCATCCATCAGCGAACCCACGCTTGTTCAGGACCTGCCACAAGGACGTGTGAGTGTGCCATCTGATCGGGGCGAGTGGTCGCCAATGGAACTAGATTCGCGAAAGCAGGCCGACGGGAAAGACGAACGACTTAGAGGCACTGATAAAAAACTGACGACGATGGTGGTGGAACACGACGCTGTTGGTTCTGTCTCGTTCGTTTGTCTGCGCTTGTCAGTTACGTTCGCAAACTTTGTGCTAACGACACAGACAAGCGCAGTGAAACGAACGAGATAAAAGACAGAAAGAGAGATAAAGAGATAGCGAGAGAGAGAGAGCGCGACATAGAGGTGATCTCTGCCTTCATCACACGGCCCAATCAAACGTCACGATCAAATGGCCCCGAACGTCATAGACTCCCTATCACACATCGAACTCACGGAGAGAAATCCCTGTTGGATCACACGACACTTCTCGTTCGCGGCGACTAAACCCAATGTAATCGCCACCGCCCGAATCCCGACTACGGATCGCGTACATGTGTGGGCATTCTGACGGTCTACTCAAACCCAGCATAGCAGCACTTTTCAGGTCGGTGGAGATGGCGAGAGAAAGAGAGAGAGGGAGAGAAAGAGAGAGAGAGAGCGAGAGGGAGAGAGACAGAGAAAGAGAGAGAGAGAGAGAGAGAGCGAGAGAGAGAGAGAGAGAGAGAGAGAGAGAGAGAGAGAGAGAGGCATAGCCAAATAGAGAGAGAGAGAGAA